CTGTTTTGAACCCCAGCTCTTTCCAGCCACAACTAGTTTACATGTGTAACTACTTGTTACTTCACCTTCTGAGCTCCAGTGATTTGACTCTGTGCATGGCAAGTCACACTCATGTGGCAGGGCAGTTGGCTGTGAGTATCAGAATAAAGATGATGTATGTAAAGTGCTTGGTGTGTGATGGGCACTGTCCTGGCATCATCATCATTTCCTTAGAAAGAAAAAAATATGCAAAGAAGCAAGGATTTACTTTTTCTTCAAAGTTTCCTCTTAATGAGAGGAATGAAAATAAATTTGGAAATCTCTGACTTGCCTCTTGGTAACCACAGATGCTAACTCTACAGTGGCTGCTTCTTTATAGAGTGTAGAAATACAAAGGTATGTAAGCACAAAATGTGTACACGTGCTAAGGTATATGTGACATTCTCAAGGGAGCAAAAAGGAGCCCTTAAACTTCCTTTGATCTGCACATTAGCTGTGAATTGGTAGTTCCACTTGAAATACAGTGAAAGCTCAAACTCGTTGGAGTTGAGGCACAATCTTTTTCAATATGGGGAAAGTGGATTCAAATAGAATATGTAGTATTTACAAGATCTCAGATTCTTATAGAACCTAAGATTACTAAGTACAAAGCAGGTGGCTGTAAACTATACTTCAGTTGTTAAGAGGAAAAGGAAGAAGAAAATTGAGCCCTTAAAAAATTTAAACTTTTTTTTTAAATTAACCTGTTAAAGTTTTCAACTAGCTTGGGTCAAATTTTTGTTATCAACCTGAGTTTCCAGGGAAGTGGAAGCAGAAAGGAAAGAAGGGTTGTGATAACATCAGACATTCAAAACCAAGGGGAAGAATAACTACCCCAAAGTATGCATCTGTGCATGGTCAGTCACTTCAGTGGTGTCTGACTCTTCGCCACCCTATGGACAGCAGCCCGCCAGGCTCCTCTGTCCATGGGGTTCTCCAGGCAAGAATGCTGGAGGAGGTTGTCATGCCCTTCTCTAGGGGATCTTCCTGACCCAGGGATCGAACTCAGGTCTCCTGCATTGCATGCAAGATTCTTTACCCTCTGAGCCACCAGGGAAGCTCCACCCCAAAGTATAACTGTCACAATGTTTTCATACCAAGTAACATGACACAAAAAAGTAAAGCGTGACTAATGTTGTTGAAATAAAACATCAATAGTTTACCCTGTATATAGAGAATACACATCCTTTTTAAGCATTGAAACGTTTATAGAAGTAACTACAAACACTTGACAAATTATCAGATATAGACATAGTATTAGCATTGGTCAACACTAAAGGCGTTTGGAGTGACATTTAGGCTTTCTGTGTTCCTTCATATTATTTGACTACTTTAAACCAACATTTTTCTAAGAAAATAAGAGGATTACTTTAATTTAAAAATAATACCTAATAATTACTGGATGTTCACTGTTTTGAGGGTATAGGTGTAGCATGTGTCCTGACACTTCATTTCATCCTGACAGGAACACCTGAAGTAGTATGGCAAACACTGATGGCATCAGCCTTCCCCTGTGTATGTTCTCTCTACTTTATCCAGAGTAATAGAAGTTTTAGGTAGACATGTACCACACAGCTAAAGACAAGTTTTCGCAGCCTCCCTGGCTGCTAGGTGGCCAACTGATTGGATGTGAGAAGATACAAGTGTGACCTCTGTCCCGCCTCCTTCTTTTGACCTTTCCTGCTGCTAGAATACAGACAATGGACATGTGGGAGGCCATATTCAACCAAGACTAAAAGGGCCTCCTGCAGGGCACGGGGAGTAACACGAGAGTGGAAAACCTGGGTTCCTGATGCCAGGGAGCTCCAGACCAGCCTTGAACCGTTTGCATTCAGGCTGCTCTAAGAGGGAGAAACAAACCTCTGTCTGTGTTTCTGGCTGTGCTGGGTCTCTGTGGCTGTGCATGGGCTTTCTCTAGTTGCAGCAAGCAGGGGCTGCTCTTAACTGTGGTACGTGGGCTTCTCATTGTGGTGGCTTTTCTTGTTGCAGAGTATAGGCCCTGCAGCACACAGGCTTCAGCAGCTGTGGCTCCCAGGCTCCAGAGCACAGTCTCAGCAACTGTGCACAGGCTTAGTTGCTCAGAGGCATGTGGCATCTTCCCAGACCAGGGATCAAGGCTGTGTCCCCTTCATTGGCGGGTGGGATCCCAACCACTCGACCACCAGGGGAGTCCATAAACCTCTATCTTATTTAAACCACTATTAAGTTGGTATCTGTTAAAGATACCAAATCACTATTGTGTTATTATCTTAGATTGTGTAGACTTTCATTTGAGAATTGTAACTTTTACATTATGTTTTATAACCACAATTATTTAAAAATTAATTTTATGCTTCATATATTTCAGTGTTCACCAGTAATCCTTATGTGCCTCAACACCATCCCTTTCATAAGTATCTTAGTCTTAATCATGCCCCGTGGCCCTGGTGGTATCTTTTCATTACAAAAGGAAGAAATGAGTGATATATTCCCAGAGCTCTTCATATCTGAATGGCAATTTTAAAAAATTGAAATATAGTTGATTTACAGCATGGTGTTAATTTCAGGTGTATTTTTGCAGATTATACTTCATTATAGGTTATTAGAAGATAATGGGTATAATTCTCTGTGCTACACAGTCTATCCTTGTTGCCCACATATTTAATATATAGTAGCGAATGGGGTCGCTACGAGTCGGACACCACTGAGCAACTTCACTTTCACTTTTCACTTTCATTCCTTGTAGGAGGAAATGGCAACCCATTCCAGTGTTCTTGTCTGGAGAATCCCAGGGACGGGGAGCCTGGTGGGCTGCCGTCTATGGGGTCACACAGAGTTGGACACGGCTGAAGCGACGCAGCAGAAGCAGCAGCAGCAGCAGTGGATCCATGCTGCTGATTGATCCCTCCCCCGTCCCCTTTCTCCTTTGGTAACCAGAAGTTTGCATTTTATGTCTGTGAGTCTGTTTATGTACATTCATTTGCCTTATTTTTTAGATTCCACATATAAGTGATATTATATAGTATTTGTCTTTCTCTGACTTATTTTACGAAGCATAATATTCTCTAGGTCCATCGACATTGCTGCAAATGGTAGTATTTCATTCTCACTTATGGCTGAGTAATATTCGCATATGCTGCTGATGTGCTCAGTTGTAGCCGACTCTTTGCGACCCCGTGGACTGTAGCCCACCAGGCTCCTCTGTCCATGAAGTTTTCCAGGCAAGAATACTGGAGTGGGTTGCCATTTCCTTCTCCATATTCACATATGTATACACATATCATATCTTCTTAATCTAATCATCTGTTGATGGGAACTTGGGTTGCCTCCATGTCTTGCCTATTGTAAATAGTGCTTCAGTGAACACTGAGGTGTCTGTATCTTTTCAAATTACTGTTCTCTCTTTTTTTTTTTCCTGAATATAATAGTCTGGAGTGGAATTGCTGGATTGCATGGTAGTTCCGTATTTAGTTGTTTAAGCTCTAAACTGTTTTTCATAGTGGTTGCACCAGTTTACATTCCCACCCAGAGTGTACAAGGGTTCCCTTTACATCATCTCCATGTTGTTTATAGACTTTTTTATGATATCCATTCCGACTGGTGAGGTGATTCCTCACTGCAGTTTTGATGTGCATTTCTCTAATAATTAGTGGTGTTAAGCATCTTTTCATGTTCCTGTTAGCCATCTGTCTTCTTTGAGCAAGTGTCTGTTCAAGTCCCCTGCTCATTCCTCACCCCCTTTTTTAATTGAATTGTTTGGATTTTTGCTATTGAGTTTTATGAGCTGTTTGTATATTTTGGTTATTAACCCCTTGTCAGTGCATAATTTCCAATTATTTTCTCTCATTCTGTAAATTGTCTTTCTGCTTTGTTGATGGTTTCCTTCGCTGTGCAAAGGCTTTTAATTAAATCCCACTTGTTTAGTTTTGCTTTTGCTTTTTTTTTGCCTTGGGAGACTAATGCAAGAGAATATATCCACAGTTTATGTCTAAAAATGTTCACCTATATTCTCTTCCAGAATTTTATGATTTCATGTCTTCCATTTAGGTCCTCAAGCCATTTTGTGTTTGTTTGTTTATTGTGGTACAAGGGAATGTTCTAATCTCGTATTTTGATGTGCAGTTGTCTAGCTTTCCCAGCACTTGTTTTTTTTCTCTATTATATATTTTGCCTCCTTTGTTGTAGATTAATTGACCATTGGTGTGTGGGTTTATTTCTAGGCTCTCTATTCTGTTCCATCATTTTGTCATGTCCATTTTCTGCCAGTATGACACTCTTTTGATTATTGTAGCTTTGTGGTGTAGTTCTGAACTCTGGGAAGATTATACCTCTAGCTTTGTTCTTTTCTCTCAGGATTGCTGTGGCAATTCAGGGTCTTTTGTGGTTCCATATAGATGTTAGGATTATTTATTTTAGTTCTATTAAAAATGTCCTGGGTATTTTGATAGGGATTGCATTAAAAATGTAGACTGCTTTGGGTGGTATAGCCATTCTAATAATATTGAGTCTTCTAAACCAAGAACCTGAGATATCTCTCCATGGCTTTGAATCATCTTCAGTTTCCTTCATCAGTGTTTTATAGTTTTCAGCCTATAAGTCTTTTACTTCCTTGGTTAAATTTGCTTCTCGGTATTTTAAATTTTCTGATGCAATTTTAAATGGGATTTTTTTTTTTTACTTTCTCTTTCATGTCTTTATTAGTGTGCAGAAAAGTGTAACAGATTTTTATATATTAACCTTGTATCCTATAACCTTGCTGAATTCTGTTATTAGTTCTAATAGTTTTGGGGTGGAGAATGACAAATTTGTTTATTTTAGAATCCTTTCTTTTTGGCTGTATTGTCTGGCATGTGGGATCTTAATTCCATGACTGTGTCACCTGCATTGGGAGCACAGAGTCTTAACCACTGGCTGCCAGGCAAGTCCTGTGTTTTAGAATTCTTGAGTCATTCTCCTTCCCTCTTAGGTCTTGGGGGATTGCTTTTTGTTGTTATTTTTGTTACCTTCTGGGCTGAAGTTTGCTTTGAGATCAGCCTGGTCATTTCTTCTTTTAGAATAACCTGACTTCTGCTGGGGCACTTTTGGATTGTAAACTTTAGACTAACAACTTCACAAAGATTATGTGATAGCAGTAGTCAATATTAATCATTTTTAAAAATACTATAGACCCTTTATTGTGTAGTTCTTTGGTTTCCATCTTTCCATTTTCTTGCTATATTAACTTTTCTTTTTATTCTTTTATCTTCAGATATGCCAACTGTTTAAACTCATTCATCCATTCCACAAATATTAAATAAATGTTGGTCACCATTCTTAATATTACGATGTGCCAGGCATTGTTCTAGATGCCAACAGTAGAGTAATGAACAGGACAGACAAAGTTTCCACTCCATGAAGCATACCTTTTAGTGGAAGGAAGCAGAAAATAATTAAACAGAAAACTAAGCAAGATCCTTTCAGATGGAGATACGTTTTAGGAAGGAAAACCAAGATGTTCTAACAGCGTGACTGCCAGGAAGCAGTGGATTAAGGACTTCAGTGTTTGAGCTGAACTCTGAATGACCTGAAGAAGCCATTCATCCATGATCCTCAGTTCCACTTTCTTTGTCTCATGAAAGCCCAGTAGAGGACTTCTGAAAGTGGATTCCAAAATATATCTCAAATCAGATCAATTCTCACCACCTCAGCTTCTACTACTCTAGACCAAGCCATCTCTCTTTCTCCACTGGTCTCTCTGCTTCCACTCTTGCACATACTCTCTTGAAGCTGCTTTCCTTTACCATCCATGCAACTTCCGAAGAATCAGTCAGATTGGGTCACAACCTTGCATAAATCCCTACAGTGACTTTGTATGACAGAGTTATTTTCAACCGGAGAGCATTTATTTCTTCTTGTGCTAATAGAATTACCTAATTTTAGCTAGGAGGCTTCCCTGGTGGCTCAGTGGTAAAGAATCCACCTGTGAATGCAGGAGACATGAGTTCAATCCCTGGGTTGGGAAGATCCCCTGCAGAAGGAAGTGGCAATGCACTCCAGTATTCTTGCCTGGGAAATTCCACAGACAGAGGAGTCTGGCGGGGCTTCAGCCCACGGGTTCACAAAAGAGTCGGACACAACTTAGTGACTAAACAACAATTTTAGCTAGGCACATTTCCCAGCTCCCTTTGCAGCCAGTTTTGTTTACATGACCAAATTCTGGTCAACAGGGTGTGAACAGAATTGATGTGAACAATTCTAGATTGTGCCCTTAAGAAGAAAAGAATTGTCAGGACTTCCCTGGTGGTCCAGTGGTTAAGAATCCATCTGCCGATGCAGCAAACATGGGTTTAATCCCTGTTTTCAGGAAAACCCCATATGCTGTGGGGCAACTAAGCCTGTACGCCACAGCTTCTGAGCCTGGGTCCTAGATCTCATGAGCCTCAAATACTTAAGCCTGTGGGCCCTAGAGGCTATACCTGCTCAGCAACTAGAGAAGGCACCACAGTGAGAAGCCCGTGAAACTCAACTAGAGAGTAGCCCTTGCTCACCGAAACTAGAGAAAGCCCACACACAGGGACGGAGACCCAGTGCGGCCAAAAACAAAGGAATAAATATTTAAAAAGAAGATGAAACTAGCTGTCCTTTCCTTCTCCTTTCCCCTGACTCCCATGGGGACCATGTGGTGGTGACCTGCCTTCCACCGTGGATGGTGCAAACTACTGGAGCTGGTAGGAGAACGAGAGCAAAGGTGGTTCCTGCCACGGTGGAGGCCCTGGGGTTGCTTACTTTCAGACTGAAGAGAGAGAGAGAGAAATAAACTTCCGTGTTACTAAAACTATTGCTACTTAGGGCTGTGAGCAGAAATGCTGTGTGGTACTTCTGGGTAATGTCTTAAAAGAATAGGTCACCTTGCGTTTCTCGGACTCTGCTGTCTAGGGTACAAACACGATGACAGCAGAGAGCAGCCATTTGGGGTTCAGAAGTGGAAGCGGTGTCGTGAGGATGGTACAGCCACTGCCTGACCCTAGGCTGGTATGTGAGAGAGAAACACCTTCTAACCTGTTGGAACCTCTGTACTGTTGGGGCCTCTTTGTTACAGCATCTTAGATCCTACCTAGCTGATACGTTTCCTTTGGCACTTAAACCGGAAGTTCTTAATAAGAAGACAGGATGCCTACCTCATAGGGAAGCCAATGCCTAGCACAGTGTTTGGAACAAAGGATGTACTAAAAATAGCAGAGCCCTGTCCCTCCCCTCACTTCACTCAGCACATCATTTTGATGCCTGGAAACCCTAAGGTTAATGTGACTATGTTTTAATGGGAAACTAAATTTTGGTAATTAGAAAATGTTGTTCGTAAGAGGATCACATCACTGCATATGTTTGCCAGGAAATGTCTTGCTATACTTTTGACATTAAAAAGGTTCCAATTCTTTGGGAAAGTGAGGCATTGTTGATTTCATGCCTTATAACGGTCACAGATAGCTCTTTATCCAATCTAAGCCTTAGTTTTCTCACACTTCTTAGAGCGCCTGCAGGAATGAATTCATTAGACATTCAGTGGCCGAAGCTTGATGTGTTAGTCCCGTGTGGTGGTACCAGTTCTTTTCTTGCAGAGTTAAGGCCTGTGAATGGCAGCCCACTGCCAGGGCATTAATTTAATTGGGCAACAATCAGAGCTCTGACTAGAAAATCCACGGAATAGTGGAGAGAGGCCTCATCTTGCTCAGCCTCCCCCAGTGGCTGCCAGTACAGGGAGAAAAAGGCAGCCAGCGGCATTCCTACCAGACACGAAGGGTATCGGTGCTTTGCATACATTATTTCCTTCATTCCTCACAAGGCCCCCTTAAAGTCAACATTATGATCCCCATTTTATTTTTAAATTTTTTTAAAAATTTATTTTATTTTTTTAGCTGCACTGGGTCTTTGCTGCTGCTGGTGAGTTCTCCCTAGTTGTGGTGCATGGAGGCTAGCTACCCTTTGTTAACAGCGGTGCATGGGCTTCTCATTGCAGTGCCTTCTCTTTTGCAGAGCACAAGCTCTGGGTGACTGGGCTTCAGTAGTTGCAGGACGTGGGCTCAGCAGTTGTGGCGCTCAGACTTGGTTGCTCTGTGGCATGTGGAATCCTCCTCCAGGGATCAAACCCGTGTCCCCTGCATTGGCAGGCAGCTTCCCATCCACTGTGCCACCAGGGAAGTCTGATCCCTGTTTTACCGATGAGAAAACCGAGGCTTGGGAGACTTGGCTGTTTGTTCACAAATGCTGAACAGGGGAGTTATGAAGCCAGATTCTCTTGTGTTTGTTAAAAACTCATGCTCCCTCTACCCGCAGACCCTGCCCCCTATCCCAGACTTCTGACAACGTGATGAGAGATGTCAGAGAAAGGTGTTCCCAGGCCTGGGGCACTCTGAGCTCAGTGTCCTCATCTGAAAACAGGGGCTCTGGGGTTAAGCTGGATGACTTCAGACTCTTGTGGGAAGAAACCTGTGAAGCCCGCAGCTGGTGTAGAAATGACACAAAGTGCTTTCCAATCCACACTTTGGACCAAGGTCTACAAGCCTGTTCCTTGTAGCCACACATACCCTTGGGCTAGAGCTTCCCCACAAGCCCCAGGAAAGCCAAGGATCTATGGCTTTGTTTACTGCATGTATATTGAAAACCTTCTAGGAGCCTGACCTTGTGCCGTGTGTGGTTCCTGGCCTCACAGAGCTTATACTTTAGCAGGGGGCACAAGCCAGAAACAAACAGTAACACATTTTAAAAGGTATTTAGAAAGAAGCAAATAAGGCTTTGAGAAAAAAAAAGAGTAACTTGACTTTAGAGAAGGTGTGGGTGAGGGGCAGTCCTAGGAGCTTAGATTTTGACTGACTGGTCCAGGCTGAGCTCCAGGCAGAGGGAGCAGCGTGTGTCAAGGCTGAAAGCTGGAGAGAACGAACCAGGCTCAAGGACCTGAGGCTTGAGTAAGTGAAGCTAGAAATAGAACCAGGCCCCAGATATGCAAGGCAGAGACTGAGAGCTGTGGTAAGGAGCTTAGATTTTAGCTGAAGTGCAACAGAAAAGCCAGAGGAGGATTTTAAACAGGGAAGAAGAGTGATCCAATACCCTCACCTTTTAAAATCCTCATGCCTTTTGGGGATAAATTTTTTAAGTATAACTTAAGTTCAGAAAAATCCACATATTGTAAGTGTTCAGCTCAATACATTTTAATAGGGTGAAGATCTCTATTTAAACAGCACCCAGATCAAAAAACAGAACATTACTGCAAGTCCAGAACCTCCCCTGATGTCCCATCCCATTCATGTATCCACTCCTGACTCATGCTAAAGATGGCTCCTGGCAGCTTGCAAGTGATGAACATCAAATTTTCAGGAGTCTATGAACTGGTTGTTAAACACAGCAACTATCAAAAATTTATATAAATTTCTAATTAGATACATTGTATTAAAAGAAAAGGTTAGAAATTTTAGAAATTAATGTATAGTAGCAGAAAGCAGATCAGTGTGACCTGGAGATGGAGTGGCAGGGAGGGAAGCGGGAAAGGGTCACACAGGCGCACCAGGAAATTTGGAGGTTGGTGGCTGTGTTCATTATCTTGATCATGGTGACAGTTTTGTGGGTATATACCGAAATCAAAACTTGGTGTGTACTGAAAATCATGTGTAGTTTCTGTACGTCAATTATACTTCAAGAGACATGTCAAAAAGAAAGGTGCCTGGAATGTCACTTGCTAAATATTCGTTGAGAAGCTGGATAAATTCAGACAGACTATGAGGGTTCAAGAAAGAGTGACCCTAATGGAGAAAGTCAGTCACAGTCAGTCAGTCAGTCAGTTCAGTCGCTCAGTCGTGTCTGACTCTTTGTGACCCCATGAATCAAGAAAGTAGCATCTACATATATACACTACTATGTGTAAAATAGATAGCTATTGAGCTGGAATCAAGACTGCTGGGACAAATATCAATAACCTCAGATATGCAGATGACACCACCCTCATGGCGGAAAGCAAAGAAGAACTAAAGAGCCTCTTGATGAAAGTGAAAGAGGTGAATGAAAAAGCTGGCTTAAAATTCAACATTCAGAAAACTAAGATCATGGCATCTGGTCCCATCACTTCATGGAAA